CTCAGAATTATGAATGCCAGAGTTGTGAGTAGACTGTCAAACACATATCTCCTTTGAACCTGAAAGTACATTAGACCAGGCAGCAACAAGTGGGAGGAATAGAGGAAGCAAATACAGTTCAGTACTGTGTTAAATGTAGCCTACTAAATAAGTAAAGGGGAAATTTAAAAAAAAGATTTGACAAAGTGAGGAAACTATTTCTGTGCTTGTTTCATTTAAAGTAATATCGTTGAAAGTATTTTTCTTTTTCATAATAAAGTTTCAAAGCTGCTTTAAGTTATTATTCATTTGTAAACTTTTGAAAGAACCAGCATAATGTTTTGTTCGGAACTAAGATCATTTCAGAGTTACGAACAACCTCCATTCCTGACATGTTCCTAATTCTGAAGTTCTACTGCATTTTTAAAATAGATCTTGATCAGTTATGATAGGGATTATATGAGAAGGTTCCCAGTGATAGCAGGGACCTGGACTCAATGAGTTAGAAAGTTCCTTCCAGTTCTATTTTTCTATTATTAGCTCCTCAAGGACATAGGACCATAAAAAATGTGAACTGGCCCCTTTCGGTCAGGCTTTTTACCAGTGTAGTCAAGAAACCTACCATAACTATGGAGTTCATATATGATTTGGGCCGCACACTATAATCCAAATTATAAGATCTGTCTACAGCTCTATAATGAAGGGCAGCAGATGTTCAAACAATAGTATCTCAAATTGGCTTCCAGCATGAGTAGTTCCTATAGACCATGTGTAACTGTCTGTCCCATCAAGAGTTCTTGATTATTTACTTTCATAACCTTGGTATGGATCCCTTAGAAACCATAGGCCTCATTGCTTACTACCTTGCACCTTGTATAGTCATTTACATCTTTTACAAAGTGGGTGCACAATGCTACCACCAGTGTAAAGCAAGTGGAGATTTCTGGCAAGGCAGCAATTTAGCACTCACTTTGCATAGCATTAAATGACTATGCAAGATGCAGTGCACAGGCAAATAGTGATGTTGGCTTCCGGAGTTCCCAACTCCTTCCCCTTAAGCTCTCACCCCTGCCTTCTTCTGCCCTTTGCCCACTTCCTCCTGCCCTATGGGCTTTCTCCTCCCCTCACCCCCATGCATGCCATTGAACAGCTGGTCTGCAGGAAGCACTAGGGGAAGGGAAGGGAAGGGAAGGGAAGGGAAGGAGCTGATTGGCAGGGCCTGTTGGTGGGTGGGAAGAGCTAGAGGGGGAGGAAGAGCAGCTGAGCATGCACTGTTTGGGTTTTTTTCCCCCAGGTGTGCTCCAATAGTCAGTGCCTGTGCAGGCAAACTATTTGGGGATTGTACTAGCCAAGACAAAGAGAAGCAAAAATTATTATATGTGAAAATCAGCTTCCTCTGTAATGGAAGTTTTTCAGTGAGAAAGGTACCAAATAGTGTAAAGCAAAGTACAATATTAATGCCCCAATAACAAATCATAACTTCTAAATTCTTCAAAGCATCTATGCAAAGACGTAGTGTACTAAGCAGAATTCAACACCCATGATTCTGAGACTACAAAGGCTTCTAACGTGTGCATACAGGTACAAGTCTAAAACATGAGTATTTCCCCTAAGGATGGCATGCTAAGGTAACTGTTTGAGGAATCAGCCAGTCTTTCTATTACAAACATTTCAGTTCACCTATTACATTTTGGGTATAAATCTAGTGTAGAAATAGCCATCTGGTGTACTTAGTGTGTCAGATGATCTGTCCATTCAAACTAACACTAACTGAGCTACTCCAAAATACCGTCAAGCTTCTCTTACTATGGTCACTGGCAGGTAGAATTGACAGCATCTTTTTCTTAGATAGGAAGTAACTCAATAGGTCCTGTTATGAGATCAGTTTTTGATCTCTGATGATTCTTTCTTATAGTATATCACATGAGCGAGTCTGATGTAATGTCAGACATTGTCTATGAAAAAAATCTATGGGATTATGGCAGCTTGCCTGAAGGAAAATATTTTTATCACTACTCTTTTTGTGTAGACGAGTCTAATGTACTAGAAACTAATTACGTATGGATTTTCATATAGTGGGTCAAAACAGCAGTCTTAAACTAACATAAATTTCAGGTCAGCATTCCAATGAAAGTGAATTAATATTTAATATCTCTTATTACAATCTATGCAAATTTAATGAAAAACACTACATAATGCAACATCGTCTAAAACTGACATGCATGATGGTATGGTCAAGATTCTCAGTTTGTGTGAGAGGGCATCTCTCCGTTGACTTCCATTTTTCACCAGCTGAAGATCTGGTCCAGGCAAAATCAATTTGACTTTTCTATGGCGCTGTTGCTCAATACCCTGCTTATGTGCATATATACTATTTTATCTCACAGTATAGACTATTGAATTCATATCTGTAACTATTACGTTGCATATATGAGTTGGTGTATGAACCATAACTGACTTTGTTATGCTCTGTGCATTTTAAATTCTCAGCTATGAACAGTTTTTGTGCCTCAAATAGTTAAATCTTCTGTGTTACAAACAGGAGTCAGATTGTGAAGAAAAGTTATTTTATTCCCAAGGTCTACTTGTGATGCCTAAATAAGATGTGTGTCTCAGGATGTTGTGCACATCATCATTATATCTTTCTTCTCTGCTTTGATTAGCAGAGAAGTAATGGAAGGTGTCTTTTAAATTATTGTCATTAGAGTTCAGAAATGCATTGAGAGGGATGGGTAATTCCCACCTCATTCAGAATTTTATTTTAAGTCGGCCAGAGATTCCAGAAGATATCACTCACTCTCTTGAAATATATATATGATTCACTTTTTGGAGATAACCTTTGTGACCATAGGGGCTTGTGGTTTAAATTTTTTGAAGTGAAATCTTACATTTAGCACTCAAGTTGTTCCAGAAAATAGTACTGGCTCACCCACCACATAATGGTATAATGTGACCCCAATTATAAACAGTAAAAGTGTGTATATTCAGTCATTCTCTTTTTGATCTATTATAGTTTAAAATGATGAAGTGTTATAAACTAGTTGTCTTGTAGATCTTTGGCTCTAGCAATTGTTAAATGAATATGAAACTACTTACTTCTTATCCTGATAACTGGGAAGCAGAGCTCAAAGTAGGGAGAAGAAAAAGGAGAGGATTCATGTTATGTTGCAGAACAAGACTAAATTTGAACAAAACACAGTATGGGTATGTCTACACTACCCCCCTAGTTCGAACTAGGGGGGGCAATGTAGTCATACGGAGTTGCAAATGAAGCCCGGGATTTGAATTTCCCGGGCTTCATTTGCATAAAGCCGGCCGGCGCCATTTTTAAATGCCGGCTAGTTCGAACCCTGTGCCGCTAGTTCGGATTAGGCTTCAGTTACTTTATTCATTCAGGGTTAACATCATCACTTGAACCACTAGCCATTCAGGAAGCCTAATCCGAACTAGCTAGTCCGTGCCGCGTGTAGCCGCGCGGCACGGGGTTCGAACTAGCCGGCATTTAAAAATGGCGCCGGCCGGCTTTATGCAAATGAAGCCCGGGAAATTCAAATCCCGGGCTTCATTTGCAACTCCGTATGACTACATTACCCCCCCTAGTTCGAACTAGGGGGGTAGTGTAGACATACCCTATTTGGTAAAACTCTGAGAGATTTCTGCAGCACATATTCAGTCAGTTCCACCTATTAACTGTGTTTTTCTTTTCCTTATTTTATTTCGTTTTTAAGTATGATTTTATTCTGAGAATCTTGGCATCATTCCTTCTTATTGAAGTGAAATAGGAGAAACTTTATACAACAGTGCCTTGCCATTCTGAAGACTTTATAATTCTCAATAAAATAAAACAAAATGGAGCCATCTTAATAAACATTCAACAAACATTTAACATCAGAGCATTGCTATGAGCTCTCATTAATTTGGTTATTATTAGGGTACTGTGAACTAAAACAAATCTGACAAAATAAGCAAATACATTTTATTACCCTTGACTTCTTATTCACAAAATTCAGTAATTCACATTAAACTTCCAGTCATTATTAACGAGGTTCTATCTAAGCCAATTGTTTTATATAAAAATTGATTACTGTTGTCATTGATGTTAGTCACGATTTATGTGTTTTATCTTTTATTTTTAGAGCAATATTTTGCCATTGAAACTTTTTAATTTCTCTGTAGTTTTTTATTAATAGGATCAAATGAAGTTTTATTGTTAAATGTGATTATCTGCCAAACACAGCCCTGGAGCTCCAAGTCCTCTGTTATCCATGGAACAGATACAATATGGGCAGCAGCAATTCAAGTTTCCATACACTTCTACATCAATGTATCTCAACCCTGACCTTGGAGGGACTATCTCTAAGGTTGAGTTCAGTTATTTTATTCGTTCAGGGTTAACATCATCACTTGCACCACTAGCCATTCAGAAAGCTTGAGGCTCTGATTTCAGATGCCAGATATCAGCCAGATTACAAATATAAAGCCCTGATCTGGCTATTGAGGAACAAGTGAGATGCTTGATCTTCTGTTACCACTACTGAGGAGCTTCCAGACTTCCTCCATCCCTAATCTGTTTGTAAATATTAGTGTAGGCCCTGAATGAAATATTATGACAGAATGTGCTTTGAATATATAATTTAGGATATATGTAAATACATTTCATTTACAAAATATTTTTGTTTTAACTCCTTGGAGAATTCACCCATTTCTACAAATTGCAAATAGAGATAACCCTTCAACATTAATTCTGAAATACAGGGCATCACCCTGCAACCAATTACTAGCAGGAATTTTAGTAACTTTTCTGAGGAGTCATCCTATTACCATCAATATTGTTAGCAGGATTAAACCCAACGTTTGCCCCTGAAAAAGCTATTCCGTAACTTCACCCTCCCTTTTTAACCTGAATTCAAAACAAAACAAACTAAAAACAGTCCTTAATACAGATGTTTGTTTGCAATAACTTTTAAATGCAAATGTAACCATTACCTTTTTAACTTTAACTTTTTCTTTTCTTTTTGTAGATGACAGTCATGTCCCATTCAAAGGATCTCAAGGATGACTTTCACAGTGACACGGTACTCTCCATTTTGAATGAACAGCGCATTCGGGGTATTTTATGTGATGTCACTATAATTGTGGAAGATACCAAATTTAAAGCTCACAGTAATGTACTTGCAGCTTCAAGCATTTATTTCAAAAATATTTTCTGGAGTCATACTATCTGTATTTCCGGACACGTCCTTGAGTTAGATGATCTTAAAGCTGAAGTGTTCACTGAAATACTTAATTATATCTACAGTTCCACAGTTGTCGTTAAGAGACAGGAGACAGTAACAGACCTAGCAGCTGCAGGGAAGAAACTGGGAATATCATTTCTGGAAGATCTTACTGACTTTCATTTTTCAAATTCCCCTTGTCCGTATACATTTTGTATTACTGAAAAAGGGGTGGTCAAAGAAGAAAAAAATGAAAAAAGACATGAAGATTCAGCTATCGCAAACGGGCCAAGAATCACAAATGCATTTTCAATTTTTGAAACTGAAAATAACAACAGTTTGTTTTCTCCACTTGACTTGAGAGCAAGTTTTAAAAAGGCATCTGAGACAAATAAAGCAACCAGTGTTGGCCTTGATAGGGATGATGCTAGCAAAGATGCAGAGCCAGCCAGTACTTTAGCTGAACACTCCTATGCAGTTTCTTCTGGAGGGGATGCTTTTCAAGGAGCTCCTTTTTTAGAACATGACAGCCGTCCCCTATATAAAATGAATGAAGAGAGTTATGAAACACTTCAGACTATTCCTTTACTTCAACCAATAAAACAAGCATGTGATGCACCAAAGATAGCCTTTAAATCCCAGTGTATTGGTTTGGCTACAGCAAAAATATCAGCCTCCAAAGTAACCAACACAGATGTTCAACAAGACGCAGTTATGGATCAAGTGATTATTCCTTTCCCTCATGATAAGGCAGGAGATTTACATTTTTCCACAGAAGAGGAAAATAAATCTGCTAAAATCCCTGGATCTGTAGCAGCAGTTATTCCACCTATTTACAGATGTAACTGTTGTACCAAATCTTTTGATGACAGAGCTTTACTCAGCACCCATCTTCAGCTTCACACAAATCATCAGGAACTTTTAATATGCAAATACTGCAGCAAACAATTTGCAAATCTTAACAAACTGGAGGATCATGAAGAAATCTGCAGGAGTTCAGGCAGTATATCTGGTCAGAGTGGAAATCAACAAATCTTTTTGGATAATTATACCACCGCTGATGAAAGAAATGGAAGCTCACATGGAAACACAGAGTCTCTCTTGTCCGAAAACAATATTACTGAATACTCCAGTGCAAACTGCACCTTGCCAGACACAGACCATTTGGTTAAAGTTGTTGATGGGCAGATATTATACACATGCATTGTTTGCAAACGTAGCTATGTAACATTGTCTAGCCTTCGAAGACATGCAAATGTGCATTCATGGAGAAGAACTTATCCTTGCCATTACTGCAACAAAGTATTTGCATTAGCTGAATATCGGACCAGACATGAAATCTGGCACACAGGGGAAAGGCGTTATCAGTGCATTTTCTGCCTTGAGACTTTCATGACCTATTACATACTAAAAAACCATCAGAAATCTTTCCATGCAATTGACCATCGGCTTGCAGTAAATAAAAAAACAGCTAATGGAGGCTTAAAGCCTAGCATGTATCCTTACAAACTTTATAGGCTTTTACCTATGAAATGCAGAAGGCTACCTTATAAATCCTACCAGAATTCTTCATATGAACATGTACAAGCAAACAACCAAGTTAATGAAGCTACTTCTAGTACCTGCGTTATTCAGAATTCTCTCAACTCTGAACTACCTTCACTGAATTTTCAAAATAATATTTTAACAAACAATACTGCTATTTCCTTGAATACATCTTCATGTAATGATGCAACATCATCTATGAATATTCAGAATGTTTCATCCTGGGCAGTAGGAATGTTAAATTCTGACCTACAAAGTGGCTTTTTTACTGTAGAAAAATCAGTGCCCTCAGTTGCAAATGAACTTAGTTCTGGTTCTCAGGAATGTGATACTTCTGTTCTGTCTTTCAGTAATGTGAGTGAAAATTCAACCTCTGTTATCAACTATCGTAGCTCAGCACCCTCGGTTATAATGCACAGTAGTAGAGTTTCATCAGTAATAATGCACAGTAATGCAGTCACTTCTATGGGAAGTTGTAAGACAGTATCCTCCAACAATACAGCCAGTCAGTTCATAAAAGATGACTGTAAACATGGGTCAGATAACTATGGCAAAGGCATTACTAAAGCAAAAGCCATTAAAGAGAAAAAGAAAACACTTCTGTGCAATAGAGGAGAGGCACTGGAGGAGTGCCACTATATTACAGGATCTGCAGATTCAGCTAACAAAACAACAGATATTGTTCAAGAATCAGGTAAAACTGAAACCTACATTGCAAAGCCTGCCTTACCTGGAACATCTACTGACAGTAATGTTGCTCCTCTTTGTCAAATAACAGTAAAAATTGGGAATGAGGCTATTGTAAAAAGACATATTTTAGGATCCAAACTGTTTTATAAAAGAGGAAGAAGATCTAAATGTGAATCTGAACAGGACAGTCAGCCTCAGGAGGCTAAAACAGAGAGAAAAGAAAGAAGCCCCGCGAGGCTTTGCAGATCAGAATGCATGGAATTGTCTGAAATGTGTGATGATGTAAGTGATCAAGATTCCAACGACAAACCTTGGAGACCTTATTATAATTACAAACCAAAAAAGAAGTCTAAACAGCTTAGAAAAATGAGAAAAGTAAAGTGGAGGAAGAATCATAGAAACAAGAACTCCAGTAGTGAAAATCAAAATACATGCAATAGAGAGTATGCACTTAGAAATATTCCTGAAGAAAAGGGCATCAATAAAGAAGGAAACACAGAAATGCCTAATCTTCATTGTGAGCTCTGTGTGAGAGAGAAATCTTCCACTGAAGAAATCCAAGAACCTATACATTGGCATGTACCTACTTCAAAGCCTTATATTTGTGAATTATGCCAAAAGCAGTTCCAGAGCCCATCCACACTGAAAATGCATATGAGATGTCATACTGGGGAAAAGCCCTACACTTGTAAAACCTGTGGTAAGTGTTTTTCAGTTCCAGGAAACCTACAGAAACATGAACGCATTCACTTGGGCATCAAGGATTTTGTTTGTCAATATTGTAGTAAGGCATTCACTTTAAATGAAACACTCAAAATACACGAAAGAATACATACTGGAGAAAAACGCTACCATTGTCAATTCTGCTTACAGAGTTTCTTATATCTTTCTACCAAAAGGAATCATGAGCAAAGACATGCACATGAACATAATGGAAAAGGATATGCTTGTTTTCAGTGCCCTAAAATTTGCAAGACAGCAGCTGCTCTTGGAATGCACCAAAAGAAACATCTATTCAAAAGCCCAAGTCAACAGGATAAACAAGAGTATTTGTGTAATGAAAGCTCTAAACCTTTGGAGAATCAAAATTTCATAGACTCAGATGGGAATGAAGTGAATAGTATACAGAGTATGACTCCGAAAGTTATACTTTGAGTGACAGTATCAAAACCAAGAAAAAAAACACTGAAAAATATATTAGAGAACAACATATAGAAGTATGGGATGCAAAGGAAACTCCAAATCTGAGCAGGTTCAAAAAAATAATGATGACATTTTTCATCCATAAAACTTCTATATATTAGCATATGCAAAAAATGCACTGTACCAGAAAAACTAGAAATATTTGCAATAGTGTAAATATAACATGAAGGAGAATAAAAGTCTGATTCAAAATAGTTCCGCAATCATGGACAGTTATAATATATAAATAGAAGAAAATAGCAGTCCCAATCCAAAACTCCTTTATTAGGAGTTACAAGTAACTAGCCACTGAACTCTCTTAAATGTACAAAAACATATTTTATTCTGAATCAATCTGGGTGTAATAAAGGCCAAATATATAGGTTCAGAGTACATTCACTAAGAAGAATTTGTAGTACAGAAGATTGACATACTTATAATCAAACTTTCATGGTAATGTGTTTATAAATCAAAAACAAAATTTAAAAGATCATGACCTAATATATACAATATCTTAAAATAACCTGCTGAAGATGGAAATGTTTATTGAATGTGGGTATGAAGTATAGTTCGGTTTTGGAAAACTTTTCTATATCACAGTAGGGTATATACTGGGTTATACTGTTGTATGAATACTACATTTTACACCATCTATATTCAATTTTTACAGTTACATTGATAGCCAGTGGGCATCTGAGTGTCAGTAAGGTTTGGAAGCCCAGAATCATGACAATAAATGTTCATCTTAAATATGAAGTCTTCCAAGTTGTGTAAGTCCTGGAAGGTCCAGCTATCAATGTATGGCAGACCAGCTAATCCAGGGGCAAGTCCAGACTTTTGTTGTAGAAGCCAAATGAAACACTCCAGTTTCATGATGAAGGAGTTGTGGAACTGACCAGTGTGAATACCTTGTGTAAATACATTCCTAACCTACCAATGGCTCTGAAACGCCTACATTTTTTAACCATTTCTCTTCTCATCGGGGGATGCTTAGTCCACGAAAGTTCTTCCAGTTGGAATAATTCCAAACATCCCAGGAAGAGGAGTTGGACTAGCTCTTGGTCTTCAAATGAGTGGGCTAAAGCCAACAAATAACAATTACCCTTTTGATTTGCTTTTGGGGTGACAGGGGTGGAGAATATTTCGTTTCTTTCATCCATACATCAGTCAGGGCTGTATCATTGTCTCTGCAAACTTTCATCCATACAGACATTTGAGTCAGTTCACTGTGGAGCTGGGATGTAGGTCAGTCTACTGTGGAGGAGGAGTGTCCTCTTGCCCTGACAGTCTTTTTCATTTTATGGGACTAGGAGCTTGCACTTACCCACTATCCAGTTGCTGTTTCTTGGAGTATAGTGTATTAACCATTGGGCCACATGCTGGCCCTAATCTCTAGTTGACAACTAAATAGAGAGCTAGATGTATGTTTTGGGTTGCAGTGTCTTTAAAGTTCTTCCCTACATGAATAATGTTCATCCAGAAAAGAGTACCATCCCCACACCAAAACACATCATGCAATGAGCCAGATTTCTATGTATATTGATGACCAATCTTGGTAGAGATGCAGTTTCTGTTTGAGTAAAAAGGAGCCTGTTTAGAAAGTTAGTACAACTCCCCTCTGATTAAGGATTAGTCCCTGGAGCTGCATGCTTACAACCTGGCTCAGTCTTCTCTGGACAGACACCAATCTTGTGTGTGAACACAATTGATAGATTCCATATGTTTCTAATCTCATTGGTCTGATTAGAGCTGGGTCAGTGTTCCTAGCTTTGGATCTCTGAATTCTTATCTAAAGGAATGTTTACTTTGTGACAAGTTGGGATGTGATCCTATTCTGCACTCATCATCCTCAGCAATTTCTTGAAGTTGAAGTTGATTGTCTTCCATGAATTGTCCATTTCAAACTATCTGTGGAGCCACTGATGGCTTAAAAAGGTTTTTCTGGAGCCTCAGATTCTGCCACATTATACACATGGGTGCAGATGAAAGTAGGGTATTCATTCGGGTCATAATACACTCTGTTACTTCTATTTTTCTGTCATAGAGAGTTGCATCTAATTCTCGAAATGCTGAGTTCTCTGCCTCAAGCAATTCCTCCATCATTATTGGTTCTGGGTTCCCACAAGTGGATGTCTATATTTTTAGCAGTCTGGAATCAGGCATCCGGATAATATGGCATGCCCAGCAAAGTTGATGATAAATAATCAACAACTTCATGCTCGTTATATTGGCTTGCATGAGGACTCTGATGTTAGTATGTCTATCATCCCATTTGTTTTGGAGATTTTTATCTATACAGCATTTAATGATACTTTCCCAGCACCTTATGATGTCTTCTGTGTGCTGTCCACATTTCAGCTCCATATAACAAAGTGGGAATCATCACTGCTTTATAGACTGTGATTCTAATTTTGATTCTGGTTGTTGCAGTCTTCAAACACTTTCTTTCTCAGATGACCAAAATTTTGCTTGCTTGTATAAGCTGATACTTGATTTCTTCAACAATATCAGCTATTTATGGAAGTTGGCTTCCAAGATATGAGAAGTATGCAACATTCCTTAGAGGGAGCGTAAAACGTGATCAAATAAAGCATTGCAGCAAGGAAGATGAAGAGCATGTGGACAATGACACTACCCTGATTGACATCTGTCTTAACCTTATAAGGAGCCATAGTGGATCCATTACAGAAGCTCACTCCTTGTGTGTCATCATGAAAGACATGAAAAAGAGTGACAAATTTCAGTGGACAACCATATACCAGAAGGATTTTCCACAGTGCTTCCCTGTTAATTGAGTCAAAGGCTGCTGTGAGGTCAATGAATCCCATATGTAGCAGTCTGTGGTATGGTCTATATTTTTCTGTAACTGGCAAGAGGAAAAATCATGTCATTAGTGTCTCTAGATGGCCCCCCTGAGATTTAGGAAGAGAGCAAGAAGACAGTTTAGGATAAATTTTTCAAGTTCCTTTTCAGCAGTTGCTAACAGAAAGATTCCTCAATAATTTTCACAGCCAGGTTTATCCCTGAAATAATGCACATGGAAAATCAGCACAGAGGCACTCAGGGATCCAACAAAACATGATCCTTTCTGCCAATGCCACAGCAAGAATACATCACAATGGTCTGCCACAGATTACCTGCATCAATGAATTGTTAATGTGTGTCAGCAGAGTCCACATAGATGGATAATCTTTGGCAGGCTAATGCACATTAGATTCACAACCCAGTTTGCTGTGAACTAATTATTCATATAGAGAAGCAGTAAGATGCAATCCTAAATGCAGACCCCATGTCTACCATCCTACCTTGGGATATGGGATGCTGCAGGTTGACCTGCCTTAAATCCTGAAGCCAGTGCTTCAGCATTTCCAATCCCCCAGGGGCTTATGTGTGTCCCGGGAGGTATGAGCCTCTACAAAATGGTAGGCAAGCAAAAAATACAGGATTAGCAAAAGAAATGTCTTAACCAGTCACCAAAGGAAGGTACTAAAGAGTTACAGCACTCTGCAAAATAACAAACAGTTCTGAGATGCCCTCTCTTTAGTGTGATCTAACCCCTTCTGTGAGTCTGAGATCTGATCATTGTTTCAGACGAGGCAGACACTCCTGCCTTCTCTCTTGCTCTAGCGTGGTCTTCTAGCTTGTGGCACTGGAAGCTCTCTTCCCCCTACCCCAACCGCTTAAATACAGTTGTTTTTGTTCTTACACACCAAGTGAGAAATTCCAACCTATTCCACCAGGCTTCGGTAGAGCCTCTAACGTCCCATGGTGATGGCTGGCTGGTATTAGAAATTGTAACTTGTTAGCCCTAGATTGCTAGATGATGGCTTCTCAGCCATAGTCATCCTCTAACAGTCATAAGCCACAAATGTTCATTTGGTGCCCTTTACAGCTCTATAAAGTCCTATGTTACCATCTCAAAAGAGACATCCAGTAAGACCAGAGTATTGTAGTGAATATTGTTTCAGTGACTGGAACAAAGGATCTAATTTTGAAGATGGAGAAAACACTTTTTAAAAAATGGTCAAAGGATAGTAGATGATTTTGATCTATGCTTTATAGCACAGGACTGCTCTGATAAATATCCATAGTACTGCATCTGTACTATCTATTCTTCATGTATTTTCATCTGTACACAGTATTATAAAATAAAGGGCAAGGCATAGATTAGTGAACCTCAGCTTCATTCTACGTACAAATATGATACATTATTTGTTTGCTTATTTGGTTTTTATTAGAAATTGCAAAAGAAGTGATATCTTGGGTATGATAAAACTACACTTGAACTGATAGTGCAGTATTGAATTAAATAATAGTATTGTCCACTTATTTATTCTGCCAAGGATGAATGCTATGAATCAATGAGAATTTTGGTTCCATAGCAGCTTTAGGTCCAGACAACTAGGATTATGAAATAAATACAATAAAAATGTGACAAAATACATGGGGATATTTTCTAAGTGGGTTTATACGCTGATAACTGTAGACCAAAGCAAATCAGGTAGAATATTTATACATAAAAGATAATTTTACAAGTATTTTATATAATTGTATGGTTCATAAAAATATTGACAGTTTGTGTTAGGTTTGGGGGGGTTGCATATTTTGATAAAAATACAATGACTTTATAATTCTGTGTATTCTCTACTGTTTATAGCAAATCCATTTTTAAGATGGCCATGTCAAGTTTCTTGTTAATTGTAGGACTTTAACTGCAAGTAATATGTTGAAGTAATCAGTCAAGTACTAATGACCAAACTGGAATTAAAATAAGTGTAATAGATGGAAATATTGTACACTGTAAAAGAACGTAATTTGTTACATTATGGCATTTGAATTTTTGTTTAAAAATACTATTAAATGCAGATATTAAGGGTTGGAAAAAAGTCTATTTTATTTTTAGAAAGAGTGACTATAATTCTGGTTGTGATTGATTAAAATAACCTATTACTATCCTTATGTGTCTCCATTTTTTAAAAAAAGATTTTAATATTGACTTATTTTTATAATGTGTTTGGTCAACAGTTTTGTATCTCCTGTTTTATTCACCTGCTATATTTAAGATTTTTTATTTCAATATAAATTTGTATTAAGTCTGAAGGGATGACAATACAGTAGCTACCATATTTATAAATTCAATATAATTTCAAATAAGCTTATTCACCAAGGAAAACAGGAGTACTGATTTCAAAATAACCAGCCTGTTATTTTGAAATAATGGCATTGGTAGTGTGGATGCTCCGCTTGTTACTTCGAAATAAGGGGGGTTATTTCGAAATAACTCCCTACTGTAGACCAGGGCAAATTCTCCATCCTCATTCAGTTCCAGGACAATGGGCATGACAGCTTTTGTGATATGGACACTGGCAATATGATGACCAAATGTCCTGCTTTTATTGGGACTGTCCCAAATTTAAATACTCTGTCCCTGTGCCCCATCAAGTAGTGAAATGTCCCAGAGAGCCCCGTCAGACATTTCACTATTTGATGGGATTCCGGTGAAGTCATTGAGAGAGTGTCCTTTTAAGCAGAAAGGGGGCCAGCTTCCAATGGTGTGTGCCCCCTCTCTCTCCCCCCTTCCCAACCTCCCCCCAAGGGACTGCCTCTGCCATGCGGGGTCCTGGTCCGGCAGCCCCACCTCCTTCTCCTCCAGGCCACTTTGGAGCCTCAGCAGGAGCTGCGTGGAGCCCAGCTGGGGCACTGTGGCATGGGGCACGCTCAGGCTCGGCAGGTGCCGGGACTGGAGTGGAGGCCCCAGTGGTGCTATTTTTAGTGCTGTGGTCTGGTCCTCCTTGATTCCTCCAGTTGGAGTCAACAGTAACTGTGCGAGTCATGTTCCAGCTGGGGCAGCCTCACTGGGATGGGCCTCATACAGCTGCTGCTTGACTCCCATTGGAGCCAGGGCTGCCATGAGGATCCAGACTGTGGCACTAAAAATAGCACTTCGAGTGGCCTCTGCTCCAGTCCCAACAAGCGGTTCCACCCTGGGAGTAGCTGGGGCTGGAGCTGCAGGGGCTTCTGGGGCCGGACTGTGGGCTCCAGCCCCTGCAAACTGGAAGGCAGAAAGTGAGGGATGGGGCAGGGACAGAACTAAGGAGAAGGGGGTGAGGAGAGGAAGGGGTTTGTGCTGAGTGGAGTGGGGGAAGGTCAGGAGAAGACAAGAGAAGGCATCAAGGGGCAGAGTGGAGAAGAGACAAATGCCAGGGGGCCAAGAGGAGACAATGAGGAAAAGGGCAGGAGGAGGGGAGGGAAGGTGTCAGTGGGAGTAGGAGAAGGGAGGGAACAGGGTGATGCTGGGAGAGGGAAAGGACAATGCGCACAAGAGGGAGGGGGAGGAAGAGGAGAGGGGAGGAGTGGATGCCAAGAGAAAAGGGATTGAAAGGAGGGGTGGGCATGAGGAAGGCAGGGGGGGGTGCTGGGAGAGGGAAAGGACAATGCGCACAAGAGGGAGGGGGAGGAAGAGGAGAGGGGAGGAGTGGATGCCAAGAGAAAAGGGATTGAAAGGAGGGGTGGTAATGGAAGGTGCAGGTGCCAGGAGATTCTGGGGGGTGAAGCAGAAGGGCAGACACACGGAGGGGAGGAACAGGCACCAGAGGAGTCAGACAGGGCAGGTGGGTAGAGGGAGGTGTTAGGAAAGGGGATGGGGAGGGATAGCTACAGATGATCCAAGCGGGGCTAGAGAAGAAGTGGACACAGGGGAAAGAGAATGGCTGGTGCAGAGGAGGGGGGCATGTGCCCAAAGGGCTGAGGGGAGTGAGACAGGCAGGAGCCAGGACAGCAGAGGAGGGTCAAAGATGGTGGCAGCAGCAGGCACCAGGGGAGCAGATGGGGCAAGGGGAGGGTAAGAGATATGGCAGCAGAGGGAAAAAGGAGAGGTTTATGATGTTTATTAATAACTTGAGTGCCACAGAGTCACAAATCCAAATAAGCCACATGAAGTCAATACTGGTGCACAAGACAAAATTCACTCTGCTCAGGGAGGAAAATCTTAAGTTTGTAATGCAATGCAAATTGGGTTAATGCAATTGCAGGATAATTGTATGGGGGGAATCTGTGGGGTCCAAACTCATCCCTATTGGTAGAGGACGGTGGGAGGAGTTCTTAGAGGGGTCATGACACCCTTTACTACTGATCATGTGTCTGTCTTGACCCCAGGAGTACTACCTCCAGGGGTAGGACTTCTTGTGGCAGAGGGAGTGGCAAACTGGGCTCAGGGAGTGTGGCTAATGTGTCCCTAACTTTGGTTCAGAAAATATGGTCACCATAGATATTGGCCTGCTAGGAAATGGAATAAAATCACCAACTAATTGCTGAATTAGCATGTAGCATTTCTACCAACTTGAACTATTATGTTATACTAGCTGGACTTACCCGGCATTGCCGGGGAAATTGGAGGAACAAAATTTAGAAAAACAGAAGCTGGTCCTGACAGCCTCCAGCCACACCTGGCC